GTTTTAAGGAATTTCGTTGTAAAAGGAAATCGTCAAAACCGTAGTCCCTTTGAAGCCTCCTCGCGATCTCTATGCTAAAACGGAGACCACCCAAGTTCACCCTACACTCCAATTTATTTGAAATGCTCGTGGGGGAAGTGTCTCCCATCACTATGACTAGGGTAGAGTCCATGCAATAACCGATCTGGATTGTGTGGGCTAGGATGGATTACTCCATAAGGTTAGGAGTTAAAACAAAACAGACAGTTCGTGTAGGAAGAAATGCAATTAGAAGTCGTTATATTTTCTTAAAAGTCCACAACAAATGTTTTTATAACTTTCTTCTCTTAACTCCAACTCCCGGAATGGCACGTAATTAAATGATTACTATTTATATAAGTACACGCTCATGATTTCAAGAGAAGTGTAACCGAAGTATCGGGATATATTACTCGTAATTTGGTGTTTTCAATACTGTAGCTTTTAAGTTAATTGACTTAACCACGCCCCGAAGTCCACTAATCATTTTAGTATTGCACCGACCTAATGATGTAAACATAAGTCTACAAGTCTCTTCTGTTGGTCTCTTCACGTGTAACTATAAAACGATGACCTAGGACACAATAAAATTAAGTGCTAAATATGTCTACAGTGCCTATGCGTCTTTGACTCTGCTGCTTTGCCTGCCGTGTCTGTCTAACACCGAGGTGCTCCTAAAACCCACCACTGTATAATTTGTCATTAATTAATTGTATAGTTCTCCCAAATTCGGCATCACTGGACTGTTGTGATCACAGAAAAATGTCGCAAGAAAATTGTAATATTCACACTGGTAATAATAACATAAGTAACGGATATAAAGCCAATGTCCTGTGCTCTCTTATAATAAATTTTAAACTACCTAAAAGTAGTTTATTTAACTTCATAGTAGGCAACACATAAATTTTTTGTTAAGATAAAATTTAAATATTAATTCCCGAATACATATACAAATTTACAGTCGGACCAAAGATCCCACCTCTATTGTTGTAGACGAGTATATGAACATAAAGAGGATAAACAAATATAGAACATTTAGTTTATCCGAAACCCCCCATTCTTAATTTCATCAAGAGAGTCCACTGGGCGAGATGATGCTGGTTGGGTACGTTAGACCATGGGTCAGTGGTGTCGCGGTGGATAGCAATGGTCGTGATACCATGATAGAAAACTTCTACAGAATTACTCTGGGTGAGTTCTCCAACAGCCGACTCCGATATCAAACACACTTTACTAAGAAATACTAAAACAAAAATGAAGTTGTTGTAACGAACGATTAGCATCGGCTCTTTTTACAAAACTCAACGTCTCTGCTAGAACCTTGTGCAGGCCATCAATTATTGTTTCAATTCAAGCTGCGACATACTCCTTTGGCGTTATTAAACGGAGCAATACCCCGACCTCGACAAGCCTCCACGGAGAACCAATCGAACACGCTTGACTCAACTCCGGAAAACAATTCATCCCCAGCAATACTGAGCGTTTTACCCTCTCCAAGTCGCAAGGAGGGCGAGGTATGTAGATCTCATAAATCTTACACAGCTCTCAAAGTTTGCTTCACCAGAAGGATAACTTCTTGGAACATTGTGTGGAGAGTTCGAGCAAAGCAGTAGTGCATTGATAACTGTAGTCCTCTGAACTTGAAAAAAGCTTGATTCGCACTGTCAACCAATTCATTGAAACGGAAAGAGAAGATAACCTATTGAAAGCAAAGGCACTGCATGGAAGGTTAACCCTCACGAGCTGAAGTAAGTAAACCAGAAGTCGACATCTCTGCCCGGTCGCACGCATGGCTCAGCACGGGGATCTCTTTCCGGAGACAGAAGCCTTTCATGATAGCATCCAGGACCAAGTAGGGTACCAACATTGAACTTACAGAAAAACACATTCAGAGAGATTCTACATAATTCCGCAGCTCGTTCGATAGAAGATGTGAGGGCTTGCCAAAGGCGAATTATCCACACGTAACAAGTGGATTGTAGCAGCCACGCAGGCATGTGAATACAAAAAGAGATCATTGATGAAGTGGCGAAGCAGGATACACAATTATTGCCGTTGATACGGGCTTTACTCGCCATTCCGTGCCGTGATTATAAATATGTGCCTCAGGAAATGTGCTTGAAAGTAGTGAGCACACACTCTACTGCGGAATTCGTATTCCTTTATCACTGAACAGTGACAGTCGGCGGGCAATAGACCAGATATAACTACATTGATAGAAACCAAAAAAAAAAAAAAAAAAAAAAAAAAAAAAAAAAAAAAACAGCGGTTTCCTATCGATATATCAATACCCAATACCAACAAATTATCGGGAAAATATCAAGAGAGATCCAGAGGTTTACCACAATCTCGCCTATTTGAAGTCCCGCAACTCAATGGAACTTCCAGTAAAAGTGAAAGACCTGTGCCTATAATAATATCAGCTACGGAGTGATCCCGGAAAATGACACTTTCGGGCCACTGGAGTGTCTTCACTGGATACCAGGGAAAGTATATAATATGCAAAAGGACAGTAATTATTGGAATTCAAACATGCCGTCCGTATGTAGAAGCCATCAGAACCTTCGAGGTAAAGCCAACCCAACACCTGGTCATCATACCTGTGTGTGGGTGACATACCGACCAGTAGATACTGTTCTGAAAATGTAAGGACAATAGTAATGAATATTAATATAATAATAATAATAATAATAATAATAATAATAATAATAATAATAATAAAATAATAATAATAATAATATAATAAAATTATTGCTCTTTTAGACTATACAGAAAGTATCAAGAAAAGCTGTCTAGAAATTATTTAAAATTACAATAAGTTAGTTACATTATTTAACAACATTCACATTACAGTAATAATTTAATACGTTTATATTATCTTATAATTTATATGTTAAAATATATAAAATTGATTTATATAAACAATGAATTAATTTAAGTTATAAACATTGAATTATGCAATTATATAACTTAAAGAAATACAATTAAAGTAGCTTAATTGATACAATCTACAACATTAATAAGTATGCAAGTGCTCATACATAAACGTTTAAAAATTATTTACACTTTGAACTACACAAATTCTTGCATTCCAAATTAAAAAATAACTTAACACTACATTATAAATTTAAAAATACATTACTACATTACATAAGCAGGATTATGATAACAATAGCAAGAACCTAACATAACCAATTTAGATAAGTAATTCAACAATAGTGATTAATTAAACTTCAATTCATTAAAATGTTAATAAATAATTGAAATGCTTACAAAGCCTGACCAGTTTAAAAATTAATTTTTTACTAATTACTAAATAGTAAATTGTCTATTTGAATTCGAAAGGTTGGTACAGAGTGTCACTCTTGTACGCGTATACATTGGTTTTTATTTACAGAGAAGTTAAAGCAATCAAGATATCTTATATGGGACACACCCATCAATAAGGTTGATGTTTAAGAAATATTTTTAATTATTATATCAGCTTCATTTTATTGGTTGTAATCAGGGACTTTATTAAAAATTCTGCCCTACACTTCGCAGCAATGCCACAAAGGACCTTTGTTAGGTTGAAGTTCAGGTAGTTATATACTTTCTTTATTACTCACAAGATAGATGATTCTGATTATTTCTTCAAAAATAGTAATACGTTGTAGAGTAAAGTGCTTAGCAACAGTCAGTTAATTCATATTTAATAAAGACAATTTATACATGGGGGGGGGGGGGGGGGACTTTTGTTTCTTTGGATTCAGTTGAAAATGCTTCCAATACATTACTTTTATAGGAAACCTTAATCTACCCATATTTTTTTTGTGTTTGCGACCTCCCCATAAATTTCAAGTACCATATTGAAGTGGGAAAAGATTATTCCCCATATAGACCTGAAAGAAGTGCTTCTGTTTCCAGGTATCTGGGAAAAAATCTACAAAAGAGATATATGATAGTTCTATAACATGCTTGAAATACATTACTTAATAAGAATGCCTTTTTTCATGATGAAGTTCAAGTGATATAATATGAAGGCATAAATAATAGTACTCTTGCAACATACCAAAGTAATTTATTATTGAGCTGCAACCACTATTGCTTACACATTACAACAACTAATTCAGTGTGCTTTGAACGTTATATTATAGCAACAAGATAGCGGCTTAAGAAATGTTTAGGACTAGTTATCAGTTGCTTTTATATTAACTGGGGAGCTCATGAAAGTAGGTTGCAATGCAATTTTGGAATCTTTGATAAGAGTAGAGGGACTCGCTAAATGAACAACCTGTGGTAGTTCAAGTATTGATTACATATTATACATCTGTCCTTGATGAAGATGTTAAGAACACTCTTAATAAGCGGCAATAATTGCTGTGTTTATACTAAGTAAAGAGGAGCAACAACTGTCAGAATTTCATATATAATGTGTAAGTCTTTGCCAAGACTATCCTGGTTGAATTTGAAAATATGCCTATGCAGACACTCTTTGATGGACCATTTTCATCTATTGATATTTCTGACTTGAATATCTAGAATCATCTATCCAAAAGAATACTAAACCTGTTTTGTGGCATTGGGGAGGCGAAGTGTGTACAAGTAACAATCTGGTGTTTTTCTTGAGCACCAGATCTCCTCTTCACCTTTTTAACCATAAAATAGTTGTTTATTATGAATACAAGTATCAATAAAGCAAGGTTAGTATATTGAAAACTGTATATTTGCTCCTAAGTTTTAAAAAACTTTTTGCACCGGTGTTGTATTTTGTCAGTCGTATCTTCCTCGTATTTCAATACTATACTCTACGGTGAGATGATTGTGCCATTAAGAATTGATAAAAGTCCCATACGGTTTAAAATATTTTGGAAAAAACTAAGAAAGGAAGAATATATCTGAGGCATATTACCATATTTATTTTCATTTTTTGTTTTTTTATCATTTTATTAGTTTTAGTTGTGT